CGGCTCACTGCAACCTCCGCCTCCTGGGTTCAAGCGATTCTCCTGCCTCAGCCTCCTGAGTAGCTGGGATTACAGGCACCTGCCACCACACCCGGATAATTTTTTGTATTTTTAGTAGAGATGGGGGTTTCACCATGTTGGCCAGGCTGGTCTTGAACTCCTGACCTCAGGTGATCCACCCGCCTCGGCCTCCAAAGTGCTGGGATTACAGGTGTGAGCCACCACACTCTGCCCCCTCCCCTCACTTTTAAAAGACCTTAAGAAGGAGAATTTGCTTGTTCCCTCTTGTCTTCAGACCTCTTGGCAGTTAAGAAGTCCTACCTGTTGTCCAGCCCACATCCTTGCTGCTTTAATGTCAGTAAATGATTGTTCTATTTTCGAGGTATGGAGGGTCGCAAAACAGTGAACTCCCCTCTCCTACCATTTCTACTCATATATCGTTTGATGGGCACCTGGGTTCTGGCTCTAAGTTTTGGGTCCAAAAACTTAAATGAGAGCTAAGTATCTTTAGCAGTTGGGGTTGGGGTGAGGAGGACAGGCCAAGACATCCCAGTAAGAAGAAACGCTAGAGGCCTGGAGGTGCAAAACTGGTGGTGGGTCTTTTCCTGGGTTCTGCAACCTTGAAGAAGCATCTCTTGAAGGGAAGACCTACTGGGCTTCACCTTCCTAGAGGTCAAACAGAGGAGCACTAACACTGCAGCAGGAGGAGGGAGGTTAGACAAGAGGGAGGACTTCCATATACTTGACTGAGGGGCAGGCTTATCTTTTGTGAATAAAAAATCCCCTTACTTTTATGAGGGACAAGCCCATCTGATGCGGAGGCAGAAGAGGAAAGAATGACTCCATTAAATTCCGGGGCCTCCCAAGACCACCCCCACACCCAAGAAAAGGTAGCAATGTCCATCCCCACCCAATTCCAGGGCTTTGGATCCCCAATTTCTGACAAGAGGAAATCCAACTTTCTAAATCAGAAATCTCAAGAGATGGAGTGCCCCAGGGGAATGAGGGCTGTGCAGGGGAGTGGCATCTTCCCCTCCTCCATTCTGGATCTCTCGGTGAAATCCCCCTAACCCCCAGCACTCCCAGTGGATGAGGTGGGATGTGGAGTAGGGGCCCCCCTGGCCCGCCTCTCCTTTTCCTCCGCCAGAAGCCGGCCTCCTCCCGCACTCCCAGCCGGAATGCAGCTCCTCTATTGTTCCCCACTGTGGGACAGCTCCTCCCCCACTCCTCCCCCACCCCACACCTCCCCAGCCCAGCCTCTTTGCAATTTCCAAATCCCGCCCCCCCACCC